GGACCAGGCCACAATCAGGTTTCGGTTAAAATAATAAGTCATCCAGAACAGCACTTGTTCTTGTTTTTTTTTTTAAAAATAAGTTTCTAAACTCCAAGAATTGGTAAAAATCTTCAGGCTATTATAATTGGAGGTGGTATCCAGGCTGAAAGGAAGTCTTGAGTTGCTTCAGCATTCTCAAGCTAAGAACTGAAAATAATCATTCTATTAAGAAATCAACAAAAGGGGAGTGATACTTCACCGAGATTGAGTGATTGTAAACAGTAATGCTGGGAAAAGGGTTAAATCTTTAATTTTCCTGCTCATGTTAAGATCTTTCCAAGATTTTTGTTTTTGCATAATAACTTTGCATTCTTTTACTAAAGAACTTCAGTAGCTTTGTGTGAATATCTTCAGCGACAGACTACCACAGTAACCAAGCTGCAAAAAAAACCCAAACCTTATGATCAAGCAAGCCAGGTTTCATTCTGTGATCTTGCTTATCCAGTTTTGATCATAAAGGACAGGCTTGTCTGGGATAGGAATTATGTGAATTTAAGTATTCTGGTAACCCTTGAAACATATTTAGGTGAGCATCAAGTACCAAAAAATCTGAAAACCAGCATCTCTGGAAGATACCTATAATATCTTACGGGTAAATGTGGGGTAATAGTTATATAGGAATCAAAGAAGTAAATAAGAAAATAGAAAATCTGTCAATAGAAATATTAATTTCAGGGAATGAACAGAATGACAAAGTAATAAAGGATAAAGGGAGAACCTAAAAGTGAAAGAGAATCTGTTGCTGGGGGTTAAAAAGGATTTTTGCAGTGATAGGGACACCTAAGAAATCCACAAAAAAGGGTATATCAGAAAAAGAAAAGGGTATCAAAACAGTAGCAGTGGTACAGATAGATTGTGTTCTCTCAGAGCTTACTAGAAAGTGAGAGATGACTCAACACAGTCAAGAAAATCTTTTCTTGATTACTAATAAAGGAAATCAGACCACTAGAGATTCTGAATATTTTGTTTCAAAAAGAGAAATTTCCTTCTTCTAAACAAGGACATAAACTAATAAAGAAATTGAGGCACACTGGAGCAGGCCAGTCACTGATGCTGGCTGATGATACAATTTGTTTTAAGAGGTCAAGAAAGGAAGAAGTGGTGGAGAAATATACCTAAGTTACAAACCAGTCCCATTATACAGAAATCAAAAGAACTGCAGATGCTGGAAATCAGAAACAAAAACAGAAATTGCTTCAAAAGCTCAGCAGGTCTGGCAGCATTTGAGGAAGGGTCACCGGACCTGAAACATTAACTCTGGTTTCTAATTTCTTGCCACAATAGGATGAATGGCCTCCTCCTCTGCATCAATTTTGTGATGCATTTATACTCCAAAATCCCTTTGTTCCTCTCTCTCATCTACATTTGCACCTTCCAAGTAATAGGTGACCCCCTTTGCTTCCAACCAAAATGTACTACCTCACAGTTATTGCTCTGTACTTCATTTTCCAATTATTTACTGCTCTTTCAGCAAGTTTATTGATGTCCTCCCATAATTTGTTGCAATCCTCCTCACTACTGTCAATTTCACCAGTTTGGTGTAGGAACAATCTTGCCAAAACAATTGGCTGGAATAAACATGAATAAGCCAAGTGAAGAATATACAACAACTTCAGAGGACTGCATGAGGGCAGAACAAGAAAGGTTGGGATAAAGTTAAAGTCTCAAAGAACAGCCTTGAGGATGTTGTAGGGCATGTAACTCTCAAATATAGACATGACCAACATCAGATAAAGCATCTGAATAACTATTTTCAAGAAAAAGAAAATCAATGACTGCTTGTTGCATGTTCACCAGGCTCCCTCCACTACTGTGTTCTCATTGAGGTGTCTGGATTGTTTAGCGACATCATAAGCCAGACCGAACAACGTTAAGTTCAATACTAACTTAAACTGCTCAGGTTTGGTTCCACAATTTGTAGGAAGATAATAAACATGATTACCAGTTGACCATCAGCTTCATTAACAATTCCATATGCTACACATCATAGCACAAACAATATAAGTTACAACTTTTCTACATCTCCACCAATGCTAAAAGCAAAATACTGTAGATACTGGAAATCTGAAATAAAAAGAGAATTCTGGAAGTACTCAGGTGAAGTGGCATCTGTGGAATGAGGAAAAATTTAATACTTCAGGTCAATTAGCTTTTATCAGTTCTGAAGCACAACAGAAATGTGAGCATCTTTTGTCAAGGATATGTTTCTAGAAGTTCAGTCAATGGATTTGATTCAGTACAGAATGAAATATGAAAGTAACTTTTTGCACACAGGAAAAGCTTTTCACTAACTTCAGCACCACCAATTCTTCCCCACCCTCAGTGCCACTTTTACAGCAATATTGTTTCACAACTGCTATCAATCCTGCATCTTTGACCAATCACCACTGTCAGAAATCCTAAATTCCTCATTCACCAAGCTACATCAGACAGTTTGGACCCTGACTAAAATCGCTATTCTGTAACTGAATCTAAATAGCAAATGCCAACAACCACTACAGCACAGTTTATCATTATAACTAGGAACTAGTCTATCAGAGCTCTTGCTAAAATATGATTTCCCCTTGTAGCTGAAGCTGGGCATCCAGTAAATGTTTAATCACGAGTTACCATTTGCAAGTCTCAAATCACTTGAAGGCACATGATCTATTTAGATTTGAAAATGTTATCTCATCCATGGTTTATTCTCATTAGTCTAGAATTTGATAAATTGCTACTCTGTACTTTACAAACATTTCATGCAAGACAGTCTGTCACAGACTCCATTGTACTGAATTATGAAGCTTCAATTTTCCTGTGGTAAACAGCCCTAAATTTAGGTCTTAAATTCTTTTGCCCAGTGGCCTCAGTTTTGCCAAGGCTATAATTGCTGACTCTTTGTTTATTGTTGGCCTTTCAAACATTTAGCTATTTTTGAAGCTTGGCCTTGCTTGATTTCAAGCTCATGTGGCGATATATTCAGTAAGCAAATTGTTCTTCAATGGTGTGAATAAGTTGGGAAACACTGTTTCCGACTTGGATCTTATGCATATTAAATATATGAAGAATTTGCTGCAATGTCAATGACAGAAACTATCATACATTGCTGTATATTTTTCCTTCTTTGATCTTGGAAACTTCATTCTATTAATCTACACGTAGAAATAAAAGGACGACAATAAATGCAGACACGCTGTCTTCCAAGAACTGATAACATTTCATGAGGAAAATAACTAGCTGTCGGAGAACTTTTCAAAAGGGTACAGCTATTTTTTCCTCAACTCCCAGGAATTAAGTAAATGTTCAAGTACTAACTTATCATTTGGCCCCGCACTCAGACAATTGAGCATAGTATTCCACACCAACACCGATAACAGGTATGCGGACAATAGAATGGGGTGCAACTGAATGAGAAATAACATATCCTGATTATTTCTCTCTCCATACTGTGGCCATAGTTACATCCAGGATGTTCCTTTTGTGCACTGTACTTGATGCCTTGTGTGATGACCTAGCCAGAAAAGAAACTGTTGAGTTTCAAGTCCTGTCGCCAGCCAATTTTTTTTTATCCTATAAGACGCCTCAAATTCAGGTTTTAAAACAAAATAATGAGACCAAGTGCAGGGCATTAGAATGGCTGGACAATCCAATCCAAGCTAATTTATAGGTCCTTTGTTGATTTTCTCTTTTTTGAATGTATAAAAAAATTCCAGTGTTTTCATCAGGTAATCTCACAACGTGAATGAATAAGGATTGAGCAAGATTGTTTATCCACAGAGAATAAACAGTGTGGTCGATTCCATCCACAACAAATCATTTCCAAAAGGGCATACTATCACAGATCAGAAGCAAGATCCTGTTTTGATTTCCCTCTCCATGGAAATGTTGCCTTGACAGAGACGAGATAAATGAGTAGTGACAAGGAATTGAACCCAGGAATCCTGGTCTAGCTGTTGCCCCAGGGATTTAAAATCTAATGTTATCCGACAGATCTAAAGTGCATCTTCTGCTCTATCAGAAGACAACAGGTTCTAAGACAGAGCAACATAAGACATTTTATGAACTGTTGGGTCCCAAAATCTACTTTGAAATCAGACCTAAATTAGTAGGAATTACTATTTTCAGGAGTTCTCAGCAGGCCTGCTTTTTGTATTAAATATGCACAGAATGCTTTGGAACAAGTCTGTACACAGAATCGCTACCCATCAAACACACACTGCACTCCAGGCACTAGTGCTTCATGAAAACAAAAGAGCAAAATACTGAAGGAGCAGAACTCAAATACAAACAAAAAATGCTGGAAACACTCAATTGTTTGGCAGACGTTAGTGGAGAAAGAAAAGGTCATCAACTGGAATCATTAACCTGACATGACGCTCCTCAGGAGATGAAGCCCAACCTGCTGAGTGCTTCAGTACTTTCTGCTTTCATACCAGGGCTTCAGCTTCGCTGCTCAAGGCCAACTCAACAAGGCTTGCAAAATAGTTCTTTTAAAAAAAGGCTGCTCTCAAGTCTTAAAGATATAACTCAACGGAATAGCAATCATCGTGCAAGGATGCAGTTAAGAGTTGTCTTCGTAGTTAAGTTTTTAACCAAGACTGATGCAGGTTTCATCATTACTATGCAAAACCAAGATCAAAAAGAAGCAGGTCACATTATACAGATTAATTTTCAAATCTGATTTCAGAATTTATATTTTAGGTCTACATATCTTTTAGAAATCTGTAAAAACGTACATTTGAGAAGCTAAAACAAAGTTGTAAGCAGTGCGAACAGCTGGAGTACATAAATGTGCTGTGTGTACATTGTAAATACTTTCATACACACACAAACACACAATAGCAGCAACCACAGAACTGAAACACACGAAAAATCTTTCAAAGAATGGGAAGATGTAATGTAAAGCAAGCGATGGTAACAAGCAGGGAAAGTGGCCGTGCATTATTAGAGTGAGTGTGGAGGGTATTACTGGGACAGACCTCGCTGCTGCTGTTGTGGAAACTGGTCTCCTCCCCCTTCACTTCCCGCGACACAATCAGTAGAAACTCTGACTGATGATCCCGCCCATAGCCATACGGGGAACCTATACTGACCAGCTGTAACAACCAGAGCACAGTTTGTAACACTAGGTATGCTAAAGGAATTTTTACACTTCAAGTTCACAAAAAGTGGAAATTAAACACATTTTAAAATGATTTGTATAACATTTCAAATATATTTTCAATGATTAGTTTTAACAATGGCAGAGTGGCAATTACTCAAAATATATAACAAATATCAATCAGCAAACAATCCCTGTTTTCTGATGAGGTCCTAGAGTCTTGTACTCCACAGAATGGTTAACAAATGCCTACTATTTCCTGTTCATTGATACCGTACGGGATAAGAGTTGACTGAGGGAGCAAGCATTTTTATGGGTCCGTGGATTGGAAAGAATCACCCATCGATCTGAGCCCACACAAAGTGCTAGTAACTGGTCATAGAGAAACATTCAAAACCTGATAGGTCAATTATACTATCTATATCCACTTAAACAGATAGGGTGCAAGTTCAGGATGGAAAAGGAGATGAATGATGGACCCAAATTCAAAGCAAACATTAGTTGAAAGCTACCAATTAACTCAGGTCTGAAACATTTCAGTTTCAATTCCTGGTTTGCCTCAAGTTAGCACATTAGTCAGGGCTGTAGCTGTGCTGATAGCCAATGTATCCCTAGATTATGGAGTGAAAAAAAAGAAAAAATGTAATCAGTAAAATTTCCATTGTTTTTTCATTGATACCCCATTGGAAAGGGTATGTATGGCAAGAACAGGATAGGTCTGACTGTGAGGCCTCGCAGAACTGAAGTGCGTGTGAACACCACATTCTTCACTTGTGTGAAGAATAGCTACATTTCCATGGAAAATTACAAAAGGGGTGAGTGGGGAGGAGAAGCGGCTCAGCTGAGGTTAAAATTTCCAGAACAAGTAATAGGACAGACAAAATGGAAAGGGTCAGGATTTAATTTTAGGTACATCAGATAAAGGGGTAATGACGAGAAGGGGGGGGCAGTCAACTCAGGATGTAATTTTTAAATGTCCGCAAATGTACAAAACAAGTTGGATGAGCTTGTAGCACAAACTGAAATTGGTAGTATGATGTCTCTGTGATACCTACATGATGACTGCAAGGGGATCAGGACTGGGAACTAAATATCCAAGGGTACATGTTCTATCAAAAAGGACAGGCAGATGGGGTTGTCTTGTTAATAAGAAACAAAATTAAATCAACAGCAAGAAAGGACAGAGTCAGAAGGCGTAGAATCTGTGTGGAAGAACCACAAAGAGAAAAGAAAATGATGAGAGTTGTGTACAGGTCTCCTAGCAGTAGTCAGAATGTGGGGAAGAAAATAAATCAGGGGATAGTTTCGGCATTAAGAATGGCACTATTACAATAATCCTGGGGACTTCAATATACAGGTGAACTGGGAAAATCAGGTTAGTAGCAGATCTCAAGAAAAGAAATTTGTGGAATGTCTACAAGATTTTTTTTTTTGGCCAGCTTTTGGTAGGACCGCTAGAGAACAGGTAATTCTGGATTTAGGGATCAAGGAGATTAAGGGAGCTGAAGGAGAAGGAACGTTAGAGAGCAGTGACCATAATACGACAGAATTTGTTTTTTAGTTTGAGAGGGAGAGGACTGAATCAGATGTAATGGCATTATAATTGAGTAAAGGTTACTCCAAAAATTAGGTAGGAGCTGGCCAGAGTTGATTGGAAGGGAAGACTAACAGGGAAGACAATGGAAGGTGGGCAGCAACGGCAGGAATGTCTGGAGCTAATTCAGGAAGCACAGCATAGATTCATCCCAAGGAAGAAGAAATATGCTAAGGAGAGGATAAAGCAACCATGGCTGACAAGGGAACTAAGGGACAGCATAAAAGCAATAGATAGAGCATACAATGTGGTAAAGATTAGTGGGAAGCCTTTAAAAACTAAAGAAACAATACAGGGGCAGGGTAGAAGATGAGAGGAAGCTGGCTGGCAATATAAAAGAAGATTGCAAGAGATTTTTAAAATATCTACAAGGTAAGAAAGAGGCAAGAGTTGACATTGGACCACTGAAAAATGAGGCTGGAGAAGTTGTAATGGGGAACAAAGAAATGGAGGAACTGAATACGTACTTTACATCAGTTTTCATTGTGGAAGACAGCAGCAATATACGAGAACTTCAAGAGAATCGGGGGCCTAGGTGAGTAGTGGACGTCACTAGGGCGAAGGTGCTGGGGAAGATGAATGATCTGAAGGTAGATAAATCACCCGGATTGGATGGACTACACCCCAGAGTTCTGAAAGAGATAGCTAAGGAGACTGTAGAGCCATTGGTGGTAATCTTTCAGGAATCACCAAAGTCAGAGTGGGTCCCAGGGGACTTGAAAATGGCTAATGTAACACATCTCTTTAAGAAAGGAGGCAGAGGTCAGGAAACGACAGGCCAGTTAGCCTGACTTTGGTCTTTGGTGACATTTTAGAGTCCATTATTAAGGATGAGACTGCAGAGTACTTAGAAGTGCATGGTAAAACAGGGCACAGTCAACATGGCTTCGTCAAGGGGAGATCATGCCTGATAAATCTGTTAGAATTCTTGGACGAGGTAATAAGTTAGATAAAGGACAGCCAGAGGACTTGGTCTATTTGGATTTCCAGAGGGCCTTCAACAAGGCACTGCACAGGAGGCTGCTAAATAAGAACTCATCGTACTGGGGCAAGGTACATGCATGGATAGAGGACAGGCTGACTGACAGAGGACACAGAGTAGGGATACAGGTGTCTTTTTCAGGATGACAGTTTGTTACTAGTAGAGTTCCACAGGGGTCAGTGTTGGGACCATAACTATTCGCGTCATACATTCATGATTTGGTCAAAACTCTCACAACACCAGGTTGTAGTTCAACTGGTTTATTAGAAAACACTGGATTTTGAAACATTGCTCCTTCATCAGGTGTAGTGAGAGAGGCATCAAGACACAGAATTTTTAAGTAAAAGATCAAAAGATCATACAACTAATACAAATATATTGAATAAACCTAAAATGGCTGGCTGACTCTCTCCTGTTATTTGTTTAATCAGTTAGAAAGGAGATGCAAGTTTCAACTGATTAAAATGCAAATCCTAGAATGTCTTTCAAGTCACTGCCACAAGATAACTAAAAGTTTTGTCAGGTCAGACAGTACATTTTAGGGGTGAGACCTTGTTTAGAATCTATACTTTAACCTGGAGTCAGACTGATGTTATTGTCAAAGCAGGAATTTATAAAATGCCCCATTGACTGACTGTGTCCACAAACTGCATGCTTATTGAACGAAATGGAACGTATCTGCAAACATACATTCACCCCATTGATTCATATATGTGCGCGCCAGGGCGTGGTGTGTGCGCGCACGCGCGTTGAGGCCGTTCTCATGGGTACCGAATTTGGCGATCAGCCTCTGCTCAGCAGAGGAACACAATGGACACCTGAAGGTGTTGAAGGATGCCCTCATAAGAACGGGACACGATGCTCAACTCATCAATTGGCAGTTCTGACGGGCCACAGCGAGAAACCGTAATGACCTCCTCAGAAGACCGACATGGGATACAACTCATAGCGTACCCATTGTCGTCCAACACTTCCCCGAAGCAGAGAAACTACGCCATATTCTTCGCAGCCTTCAATGCATTATCGATGACGATGAGCACCCTGCCAAGACCTTCCCTACGCTTCCACCTCTCGCCTTCAAACAACTGCCAAACCTTAAACAGATCACTGTTCAAAGCAAACTACCCTGCCTTCAGGACAACATTGATCACAAAACCACACAACTCTGCCATAGCAACCTCTGCAAGACAGATCAGATCATCGACATGGATACTACCATACATGGGAACACCACCCACTATGTGCACGGCAGATACTCATGTTTTGGCCAACGTTGTCTATCTCATACGCTGCAGGCAAGGATGTCCCGAGGCATGGTATATTGGCGAGGCCATGCAGACACTATGCCACTGATGAATGGACCCCGCACAACAATCATCAGACAGGGATGTTCCCTCCCAGTGGGGAAGCACTTCAGGGATCAAGGGTCTCGGATCTTTGGATAAACGTCCTGCAAGGTGGACATCGGGATACACAACAACGCAAAGTCGCCAAGCAGAGTTTGATAGCCAAGTTCGGTACTCTGACCCCGCCCCACGCACTCCCTCCCACTCACGCCCCGCCCCAGTCTCTAAAACACACACATGCATGCACGCATACACTCTCTCTCTACTCCTCACACACACACACATATCTATGGGGTGAATCTGCACTTACAGATGTGTATTTGCAGACAGTCTATCTTGTTCAAAAACCACACAATTTGTAGGCACAGTCAATAAGGCATTTTATAAATTCCTGCTTTGGAAATAAAACCAGTCTGACTCCAGGCTAAAACACAGATTGTAAACTAGACCTCTCACCTAAAATGCATTGTCTGACTCGAGATGTCATCTCTCATATAGAGTGATAAAACCTTTAGTTATCTCAGAGCAGTGACTTTAAAGACATTCTACTGTTTGCATTCTAATCAATCAAAACTTGCATCTCCTTTCTAGCTGATTAAAGAAATAACAGGAGGGAGTCAGCCAGCCATTTTAGGTTTATTCAACACATTTGCATTGGTTGTATGATCTTTTGACCTTTTACTTATAAATTCTGCGTCATGATGCCTCTCTCACTACACCTGATGAAGGAACAACGCTCTGAAAACTAGTGTTTTCAAATAAACCAGTTGTACTATAACCTGATGTCAAGTAATTTTTGACCTTGTCCAAACCTGTCCAATACTGGCACCTCCACATCATTCACATTTGGACAAAGGAGCTGAGTGCTTGTTGATAAGTCTGCAGATGACAAAGATAGGTGGAGGGATAGATAGTGTTGAGGAAGCAGGAAGGTTGCAGAAGGACTTGGCCAGACTCGGAGAGTGGGCAAATGGAATACAATGTAGGAGAGTGAGGTTTTACATTTTGGTAGGAAACACACAGGTGTGGACAATTTTCTAAACGGGGTAAAGACTCTGGAAATCTGAAGCACAAAGGGACTTGCAAGTCCTGGTTCAGGATTCTCTTACATGCAGGTTCAGTCTGAAAGGCAAATGCAACAGTGGCATTCATTTCAAGAGGATTAGAAAACAACAGCAGAGGGTCAAACCACATTTGGAATACTGAGAATCATTTTGGGCCCCTTATCTAAGGAAAGATGTGCTGGCATTGGAGCCATTCCAGAGGAGGGTTACGAGAGAATGATCATGGGGGTGAAGGGCTTGTCATATAGGGAGTGATTGAGGACTCTGGGTCTGTATTCAATTAAGTTTAGAAGAATGAGCGGATCAGATTAAAACTTACAGAAAACAGAGGCCTGGATAGTGTGGACATGGAGAAGATGTTTCCACTATAAAGGAGAGACTAGGACCCAGGGAACGGATAACCCTTCAGGACGGAGATGAGGAGGAATTTCTTCAGCCAGAGAGTGGCTTTTCTGAGAAATTCAGTGCTGCAGAGGGCTATGGAGGGCCAATCATTGACTGTATTTAAGACAGATAGGCAGGTTCTTGATTAGTAAGGGATGAAAGGTTAAGTGGAGAAGGCAGGAGAATGGGGTTGAGAAACAGATCAGTCATGATCGAATGGTGGAGCAGACTTGGTGGGCTGAAAAGCCTAGCTCTGCTCCTGCATCTCAAGGTCTTATTATTGTCTAATGATTGGCCTACAAAACAGTCCCTTCACAGTAACAAGAAACCCTTGTATCAAACTCTGAAGTCTTTCTTTATTTTTTCATGTGATGTGGGCTTCATTGTCATAGCCAGTATTGTGTTGCCCATCCCTAATTGCTCCTGAACCGAGTGGCTTAATCAGAGGGCAGTTAAGAGTTAACCAGACTCCTGAGTGTCTGGAATCACATGCAGCTCACAGCATGTAAGGATGGCAGATTTCCTTCCCTAAAGGACATTAGTGAAACCAGATAGGCTTTTACAGCAATCGATTAAAGTCAACACAGTCATCACAACTAAGATCAACTGTGTGTTTCAGATTTATCAAAATGAATCAATTCCAGTTGCCATGTTGGATTACAAATCCATGACCCCACAGCAACAGCTGGACCTCTGGATTAATAGTCCAGCAACATTACCACTATACCACAATCTCCCCTGCTGGAGAAATGGAATCTGACACCATGTAAATGCAAACCTTATTATGTTGTAAATTCAAAAAAAAAAACTTCTTGTACTGTCTGATTGCTCCAACTTATGAGAACCTCCGAAAAATTAAGGCAACAGAGCTGTATTATATATACTGGTCAATAGTGTTACACATAAGGAGTTCAAACCAAAGTGTAGTCTACACGTAAGGGGGAGTTGGGGTTTAGAACTGGATGATTCTTCAGATATAAATGGTGTGCAGGGATATGGGGGAAGGTCAGGATACTGGCACTAGGTAACAGAACCAGTGCAAGCACAATGGGCCGAATGGCATCCTTCTGCGCCCTAACAATTGTGATTCTTAGAAGGCGAGCAAAAACACTGAACAAAGGCTCCACCAGTTTTCCTGCCATTGAGCAAAATGCAGCAACTGCTAATGAACAACTTCATTTGTAATTACCAACTGAGGCCAAACGTTCAGCTGTGACGTTACAAGAGTTATAAAGAGCCGGGATACTTTGCTGGTTTTATATTTGAACATTCTGACTTCATGCTTATCATAAATTTCTACATCCACATTTAAATGGAAATTATTCACGCAAACTCATCACGTAAGCCCATCTTTCTGCCAGTGAAGGTGAAGTCGCCACAGTCCCAGAGGATCATAAGCTGCTCTCACATTAGAAAGAGAGATAACTCACAATGAGTTTAACCCGAGGGCCATTTCGCTGCAGGAGAGGTGCAAGGTTGACAAGGCAGGATCCTGATAGTGATACCAGCTGGTACAGGAAATGAACTCCTGCTGTTGGCTTCACTCTGCATCGCAAACCACCTGTCCAGGCAATTGAGCTAAACCCTCCCTTCTCCTATAGTAATGTGCTATTATAAAGTTGGGTTTGCAAACCTATCATGAGAAATGTTAACAAAGTATATTACCCATGGTCACATGCTCTAATTCATAAATGTCCATTCATAAATTTACGATACAACCTCATCCCCAGAGAAGATATACTGGAGTAATGCAGCAACAACAATGCTATTCTGAATAAAAAATGGCAGTGTAGTGTGGACATTTTACCATCAGTTCAATCTGATGTATCTAAAGTGACTGGTGTGTTTTTTATTCAGGGAGTAACAATATAGCTAATGCCACAATTATAAATACAGTGCCCAGTTATGCATATTACTGCATAGGGATTGTAGCATTCAAAAACAATTATTTTAGGAGAGAATATTCCCTTGGAATGAAAAATTTCATAACCTTGGGCCAAAGAAAATATTTGGAAGGAATTATGCTGAAATAACGCAGCCTGCAGCAATGGCGTATTCTTTAAGAATTTGAAATTTACAGCACTAAATGCTTATACATTGTTTGGTAAGGTACATTCCCAGTTGTTCTTACATTTTATACATGGCTTCAATTTAAAAATACCCATTAATTGAGGATACATGAATGCTGAAATAAGAATGAGATTAGGAAAGTCACATTTCTTTGGATCTGAATTTGGTTTGGTCATTCATCAAGATTGTCTTCAAATTGATGAAATACACTTTTTCCTTAAGGAAGTCTTGCATTATTTTCAAGCATAATATAGTGCTGGGTGGATCTAAAAACCTAACTGATTGCTTTAATATCTTTACCTGTTCAAACTTCCAGCCATCAGACATTGTAGACACCATCTGGGTGAGCTCCTCTTCCTGACACTGCAATACTCTATAGACATGCTTCATTGGAATCTGAGGATTACAAGACAAAAAGGAATCAAACCAAAGATCCATTAAAGAAAATAATGAACCACAGTTCAGGATTTTTCTAATGATGGAAAATCACATCAGAGCTTGAGATAGAATTTTAAAATGCGGCTGAAGAGAAGCAAAAGTTCTTTTTTACAAGTTACACTTCAGAGTTTGTAAATTATTAAACTGGGATATAGTGTATGTATCTTCACAAAAAGCAGCATCCCATTATACACTTTTAAAAAAAGTAAAAACTGTGTATTTCAATTTCTAATAATCAATCATATTTCCCCCAAAAGACAATACTGAATTTTCTTAAAGGACACTTTCTTTTTAGGTAGCCTTTTCCCATTTCTATAAGGAACTCATTGTTTTGGTACCTTGCCAAAAATTGTCAGTTATCATGTAACACTAAACAATTGATTTTAGAATAGTCTTTACAGCTTAACCTGCCCCTGTCCCAACACACATGCATTTCCATCATGAGTTTCTGGATAGATGAAAATCCTAGCTAACTTTCCTCTGCCTAATGCAGGAAAAGAAATAAAATGCAGTAATTTTTACAGTGTGCAACCATGATCAGTTAAATCAGCACAGGCAGATTGAACTCAGGTCCTTGGTCATACTAAATGAGCCAAACCAGGCAGGAAGCTGCAGAACACATTTTCTTTTAAAGTAGCAATGCACAGTTGAATTTACAGATATTACTGACCTGCAGGCCCGGCTTGGCAGCTCAGTCGCTTTTCCTTTTGATAACAAAAGTAGCATACTGTTATCAACACTCTCACCATCTGTGCACTCAGAACTTCACTGGTTTCTTTCAGATCTTTGACAACAGCCTGTATTTTTGAAAACATTTATTGCAGCACTTTTCAAATATACTTAACCATTGCTGCAATTTTCACATTTGCTTAGCAGCAGTTAGTTATCGCTAGTAATGCTGTAAACATTCTGGCAAATGGCAAGGATGTGCACGACTTAACATTCCTTTCAGCATGTCTTTTTGTGGCTATAATTTAGAACACAACTTTTTTTTGAACAAAACCATTGGAAGTTGGATAATGGGGAGGCAATGGCCTCGTGGTATTATCACTAGACTATTAACCTAGAAACTCAGCTAATGCTGTGGGTACCCAGGTCCAAATCCCACATGGCAGATTGTGGAATTTGAATCCAGTAAAAAATAGTCTGGAGTTAAGAATCTACTGATGACTGTGAAACCATTGTCGACTGTCGAGACAAACCCATCTGGCTCCCTAATGTCCTTCAGGAAGGAAATCTATCACCCTCATCTGTCTGGCTTACACATGACTCCAGACCCACAGCAATGACTCTCAGTTGCCCTCTGAGATGATCTAGCAAGCCACTCAGTTCAAGGGCAGCTAGGGACCGGCAATAAATGCCGGCTATCCAGCGCCACATCCGCAACATCCACATCCCATGAGTTTGAGAAGATTTGTAACTTGGGTTGTCGATGAGGTTGTGGACGAGGTTGTAGACATGCTCGCCAAGCCGGTGGGTTTGGTTGCAAATGTTTTGTCACCCTGCTAGGTAACATCATCAGTGCACCTCCGGTGAAGTGTCGGTGTTCTGTCCCGTTTGTTATTTATATGCCTCAGTTTGCTAGGGTTCGGAAAACCAATGGGACCCCCAATATCAGGACTGATTGCAGAAGCAGTAATGCAAAGGTTAGAATGGACAGTGCTCCCACTACACAACCCAAACTTTGGGTCCAATACGTAGGTGACACCCTTGCGATTATTAAACGCACAAAACTGGAAGAAACCCATCGACACATAAACAACATCCTTACCGGGATAAAATTCATGAAAGAAGAGGAGAACAACATCCGACTACCCTTCCTGGACATAATGGTAGAACACAAACAATGGGGAACTCCAGACTAGTGTATATAGGAAGACTACACATATGGACCAAATACTCAATTACACTAGCAACTACCCCAATGCCCACAAACAAAACTGCATCAGAACACTATTTAAATGAGCCACAACACATCGCAGCAACCCAGAACTACGCAAAGCAGAACAGGAAAACTTATACAGAGTTTTCAAAAGAAATGGATACCCAAAAAGCACCATCTGCCGTAAAAACCGAAAGAACTGCAGATGCTGTAAATCAGGAACTAAAGTGAAGTTGCTGGAAAAGCTCAGCAGGTCTGGCAGCATCTGTGAAGGAAAAAACAGAGTTAGCATTTCGGGTCTGGTGACCCTTCCTCAGAACCACTGTACCTCCAGGACAGACCACAACAGGAAGACACAACGCGACTAGAATCACTATCACCCGTCTATACATCAAGGACATTTCAGAGATGACCACAACACTATTCAGACCCCTATGTATCAGAGTAGCCCACAAACCGACAGCCACCCTACGACAGCTACTGACGAACATAAAGGATCTCATACCCAAAACTGGGGTAATATACAAAATACCACGCAAGGACTGTGAGAAACACTATACAGGCCAAACCGGAAGAAAATTGACTATATGAATACATGAACACCAACTAGCCACTAACAGACATGACCAATTCTCACTTGTCTCACTATACACTGACGAGCGACACAAATTCGACTTGGACAACACATCAATAATTGCATGAGCCAAACAGAGACATGCCAAGGAATTCCTGGAGGCCCGGTATTCCAACCGGAAGTCCATCAAGAAACACTTTGAATCAGCCCAATGTACAAACCACTGAGAAACAAAACTGGAAGTAATACCAACCACCCCAGCAACCGAGGCACATAAATAACCAGCGGGACAGAACACCGATGCTTCACCGGAGGTGCACTAACAATGTTACCTGGCAGGATGATGAAACGTTTGCAACCAAACCCACCAGCTTGGCAAGCATGTCTACAACCTCAAAAATCCACATAATCCTGTCACCATGCTTCCAATTTCCTCTTCCCTTTCCATGCTCCTAATGCCTCTCCACGTGGTATAATTCTATTGCATTGGTTATCTTCTGACACCTTGCCTAAGTGGCCATTCTTCACCTTCAAGGTGAGATAATGAGTGTCAACAGGCTATCTGATCCCACACTGATGTACAGTCTAACCCAACTCTGCACCAACTACTGATATGAATACAAGGTGCACCTTTACCAACTCTGGACAGTAATTAAGAATATATGGAAACCGAAAGATGTTCCAAGTCCAATCAGCTAACTCGCCATGGACCATAATTAACTACAGATCTTTTTATGCGGTCCAATTGTTCTTCACTTTTATACACAAGTATGGGGAATTAGGTGCTGATATACAAAAGATCCATACAAAGCCAGTCTTTTTTTCCCATTCATGGGGTGACAGCATTGCTGACACGGCTAGGATTTGTAGACTATCTCAATTGCTCTTAAGGAGGAAGTGATGAGCCGGCGTCTTGAACTTGCTACAGTCTGTCTGGTGTAGTTACACCAGTGTTGTTATGGTAGGAGTTCCAGGACGTTGCACCAGCTTCACTGAAGGAACAATGATACAGTTCAAGTTGACATGCGATTTTGAGTCACTTGCATTACCTTCTGGCAGAGCCCACAGGTTTGCAAGATGCATCAAGGGAGTCTTGATGGGTTATGCAATGTACCCTGTCAATATTACACATTGCTGGCTTTGTGCACTGATAGAGGGGTTGAATTTTTAAGATGGTGGATGGGATATCAATCAAGCAGATTGCTTTTTCTGGATGGTGTTGAGCATCTTGGCTTTTGTTGGATTTACAGGCACCCAGGCAAGTGGAGAGTTTTCCATCACATTCCTGACATGTGTCTTTGGGATAGTGAACTAACTTTGGGGAAGTCAGGAAAACGCTTGCTTTCTGCAGAATTAATAGGTGATCTCCTCGTATAGTCATGGTAGTTACGTGGCTCATTCAATTCAATTTCTGGTCGAATATTGATGGTGGAGGATTCAGCAATGGTAATGCAGTTTCACATTAAGGGAAGATGGCTGGATTGTCTCTTGTTGGAGATGGTCATTGACAGGAACTTGAGTGGTGAGAATGTTACTTGCCACTATCAGTCCAGTGGTATTAATAGTTAGGGACATATAATAATAGTGAAGGGCTTGCAATCATGCCAAGACAGCAGAAGCAGTGGAGGAGCAGAGGAATTGCAGTTTCCATGGGTACAAATCATTAAAATCTAATGAATGGGTAGAAAAAGCAATCAACAATGCTAACAGAATGACAATGTTTATCTCAAAGGGGTTGGAATACCATGGGGCGAATGTAATGCTTCAATTATAAAGGTCTTTTTCAGACCCCCATTTAGAACACTGAATTCAGTTTTAAATACTGCATTCCAGGAAGATACATGGACCTTGGAGAGGGTACCATACAGATCAATCAGAATGAAACCAGGGCATGACAGTTAAAGTAGACAGATCGCTTAATTAAAACTGGTAATGCTACTTCAAGTTTATAAAGTGGTAGACATGTTTAAAATAATTGAAGGATTTTATATAAAAAGTACAGAAATTAATTATTTCAGTGGAGGTTCCAGAAGCTCGGGACATAATCTTGGAATTAGAGCTAAGCCATTTATATGTAAAAATCAGGAGGCAGTATTTCCACACAAATCATTTTTGGAAATTTGAAGCAAACCCCTGCAAAAAGACTACAGGAGGGTGGAACAACTTCTTATGAAGACAGATTGAAAGATATTCGGTAGCTAAGTGTACCAGGCCATTTAGCTCAGTTGGCTAGGTAGAGTGTAGATTGGAATTATGCCAACTGCTTTGAATCAAACAGGTTTGATTCTCCATATGGTTGGGGTAGACTTGGGAACTACCTCCTCACCATGTCTGAGAAAGTAATATTCTTGTTCTAATAGTCCTCATGCAATCATTGCTTTCCAAAGCAGCTAAAGGAGATTGCACAATCAATATTGCAAGAGAAAATGTGACACTTCTCAAGAGGGAACGCCACTGAGTGAGCAAGCTCTAAAGATCCATCCAGAAAGCGAGCAAACTTTTAATTGCTGAAAATAGTGCAGCTTCTTTTCAACACTAAGTTACTTGCTCCCAACCTCCATTCATTAATTCCTCAAGATCATGTTTCGTACGTGCACTTGGTCTCTTTCCACTCACCTGTGATGTTTTGGTGTCTCTCTCTCTTATTCTGTCTTTCACTAACTTTATTAGCGATGTAATGTTGTAAAATTCTGCTTCCTCCAGCACACCTGAAAGGGACAAAACTACCATCAACTATTTTCAATCTATAATACTGCAGAGAGGTTAAACAGTTTTCTTTTAATCATAAGATCAATCATTTGCAAATCTTTATGTGTTCCTTGGATGCAACTATAAGAGGCAAGGCCAGCATTTGTCATCCTATTCTGCCTTTGAAAAGGTGGTGGTAAGCCACCTTTTTTGGCTTCTTGTTGTAGGTACACCCAGTGACTACACAGTTCTTAGTCACAATGGTGTGCATATTGAAGGGAAACATGCTGTTGGTGTTTGTAAGCATATGTTGCCTTTGTTCTTGAGTGGTAGAGATCATGGGTTTTGGAGAAGTGCTTTGATGAGTTGCTACACTGTATCTTGCAGATGGTATACGGTGTGCCAGTGATGGAAGTGTTTAAAATGTTGGATTGGTGCCAATAAAGCGGTATGCTTTGTCTTAGATTTTGTTGAACCTCTTAATTGTTGTTAGAGCCAGACTTGTCCAGACAAGTGGAGACTACTCTATCACATTCCTGACTTGGGCCTTGTAGTTGGTGGAAAGTCTTTGGAGAGTCAGGAAGTGAGTTCCTTACTGCAGAATTCCAAGCCTGCTCTTGTAGCCAGTATTATTTTTGCTGGTTCAGTTAAGTTTCTGTTCACTTGTGCTCCTCCCAGGATGGTGATGATGATAGGGGATTCAACAATGGTAAAGCTACCGAACATCAAGGGGAGACAGGCAGAGTATCTCTTGTCAGAGACTGTCATTGCCTTGCACTTGTCTGGCATGAAAATCACATGCCACTTACCAATTCAAATGTGAATGTTGTCCACAACCTGATGGATGCAAGCAGACCAAGTACCTGAGGAGTCACAAATGTTACTAAACAATATGTAATCATCAAAAATTACTTCTGACCTTAGGGTAAAGGGAAAGTCGCTGGTAAAGCAGCTGAATATAGTTAAAGCCTAGGATGCTATTCTAAGAGTTCCTCAGGGTAATATCCTGGGGTTGAAATGATTGGCCCCCACTAAGCACAGACATTTTTTTCTTTGTGGACGTGTTACTTCAACCATGGAAAGTTTCCCCTCTTAATTCCCATCAATTTCAGTTTTGCTGGGGCTCTTTGATGCCATTCCATTCAAATGCTGCCTTGATGTCAAGGACAGTTATTCTCCCCTTTGACGTTCAACACATTCATCCAAATTTGGATGAAGTCTATAATGAAGTCTTGAGCCAAATGACCCTGCAGAATCCAAACTCAGAGTGCGTACATGTTGCTCAGGCAATATTGTCAATAACACCACTTACTTGATGATTGAAACTAGACTGATGGGGTAATAATTGGCCAAATTGGATTTGGTCTGCCTTTTTTGGACAGAAACACTGTCATGGTGACATCAGTGTTGCAGCTGTGTGGAACAGCTTGGCACGGAATGTAGTTAGCTCTTAAGAACAAAACTTCCAGCCCTATAGGCAGGATGTCATCAGGGCCACAGGCTTCGCTGTTTCCAGAGCTTTCAACCTTTATGCTATCACATGGCACAAACTGGATTGGTTATAGTGGGAACCTTAGGCGCAGGCCAAGATGGGCCATTCACTTGACACCTCTGGCTGAAGATGTATTTAAATATTTCAGCCTGGTCTTTTTCAGGCATTATTCTGGTCTCTGTGATTGATTGTGGAGTGTTTAGTTTACTTGTTTAATTGTCTATTATAATTGACAAATTGAATGCGGCAGGGCGGCAGAGTTTACATCTGATAGTTGGGCATGAGATCACTTGGTTCTCTCTATAGTATGCTCCTTCTGCTGTTTAGCACGCTGCAGCTTCACCACGTTGGTAGATGATCTCTTGAATATAATCATAATTCTAAACATTGCTTTTTACTGGGGAAGTCCACTTCTAGTATGTTGCATCTTAATCAACAGAACACCCTCAGAATGAGAATCAACTGAATAATTTATACTCAGGAATTTTCAAGGGTCTCAAAATATAGAAACTACTCTGTACTTTAGGCCTCAAATATACATTAGTGGGAGCCAAGTCCATAATGGATAACTTCACCCAAACTGCGGCAGTGCCTTGAATAATGTTACAGGCAGGGTGGCAGAGACACAGAACTTAGTATTAAACACAATTTGGACATGAACACGTTGCTTTGGTAAGCAACAAACAGTTCCACATATTCCCTTCTTTATAATTGGGCGGCTCAGTGGTTAGCACTGCTGCCTCACAGCACCAGGGACCCGGGTTCAATTCCTGCCTCAGGTGACTGTGCGGAGTTTTCTCGTTCTCCCCATGTTTGTGTGGGTTTCTGTCAGGTGCTCCGGTTTCTTTCCACAATCCAATGATGTGCAGGTTAGGTGGACTATCCATGTTAAATTGCCCATAGTGTCCAGGGATGTGCAGGCTAGGTGGATTAGCCATGGAAAATGCAGGGTTACGGGGATAGGTGATCTGGATGGGATGCTCTTCAGAGGGTTGGTGTGGACTTGATAGGCTGAATGACTTGCTTCCACACTGTAGGGATTCCATCTACAATCAAAGGATACAATAAATATAAAAAAAAATTGAAGATGTAACAAATAGATCTTGCCTTCCTCTGCTAAATCTTTATTAATAACCAGCTTCCCATGTCGCAGGTAATTAAGCACAGGTCCAAAATAGGTAGGATCTCTGTCAATTAGATAGGCACCAGTCTCATCCTGCAAGGTCAAACACAGTAGTCTGGTTAGAAATTGAGAAATCACAATTGCAAGTATTTACAAACGTACATTGGTTATTTGAAGGAAATTACTGTTTTCATGGTTTCACCAATTCCCATATATTTCCAAATAGGACACAACCACATGATGGTTTGCTAGTATAGCTTCTACTTTTTGGTAAAGCCAATATAGACAGATTCTTGTTAGGCACAGATATCCAAAGTTGTGTGGGGTGGCTGGGAATGCAAAATTCAACAAACAGATCAGCCATGTTATTATTGAATGGTAGAGCACACTCGAGGGGCTGAATGTTTTACTTCTAGTCCTATTTTGTGCAGAGTATACATATGCTTGTATACCTCTACAGCCCATGACAAAATGGCAGTAGGATGTTATAAACACTTCAGCCCATTAGCTTTAAAATTTAAGGGGCAGCATATTTACTGTGGGCAGGAGGACGCACAATTACACACAAATAGGGTGGGTCGTCAGAAGCTCATATTATAGGCTAAGGGGATGTGGACACAACTGTAATTAATGGGCAGGAAGCAAATTCGTGATTCTTCAGGCCCATTCTTGAAACTGGGGGCCCCAAGGAGGCCCTCCAAGCCCTGAGCAGTGGGCCACCATTTTGGAAGGGGAGCCCATTAATAGGGCTGCCTGTGGCTACTAGTTAAGCCACAAAAGCAGGCCCACTAACTCTGTTTGGAGAACAGCCCTCTTGTCCCATCAGGAGGCAATGGTATGGTTCCCTGAAGCCTTTAGACAACTAAAAACTCAACAAAATTTCCAAGATGCCCTCCACCATTAGGCTCGAATGACAACATGCCACATGGGTTGATAGCTTTACCAACACCCCTCCATCCCACTTCTAGGAAAGTGGCCCTGAGCAGGATTGAGTCTGGTGTGCTGGTGATAATATGAAATTCCATTTTGACCCCCATCAGGGTCTAAGAGTTAATCTCCTGAAGCCTGCTTAACATTCTGATTTGTTTACACTCCATTCCCACATACCAGCAATCTAACATTTACAGCGACGTAATTTCTAAACGCCAGCGCAGCTGTGTTAGTAGCACTTCTGCCTTTAAGTCAAAAGATGAGGGCTCAGGCTCCACTCTAGACTGACTTTTCAGTGCAGAGTTGAGGTAATCGATTAATGCCAGAGGTGCTCTTTTTTGGACAAGTTATTAAATTGCAGCTCTCTCTGCCCTCAGGTGCAAGTTAAAACAACTCCACAACAGAATTAGTAAGAAACAGGACACTGCCCTGGTTCTTTGGCCAATATTTGCCTCCGAATGAGTTGTCTGGTTATTTATTTCATTGCTGTTAGTAGGATATTCTACAATAAGAATGGTGACAACACTTCAACACTAATTAATGGGCCATAAAATGCTTTGCAACATTCAACAAACATGAAAAATATCACAAAGGCAAGTATCTTCTTGCAAAGAAAATAGAGTGTTTTACATTTGATGGATTCCTTTGAACATGAAACAGGACAGGGGAGTGGGGTAGGAAGAAATAAATGAAATGTTGATAATGGTGAAGTTTAAGATTGAAGACATATATTACCAACTGTAAACATTTCAGATGTTGGAAAGTGTGAACAAGATCTATAAAGGCCAGCATCAAAAAAACTGCCTAACATTAAAATACACTGCAACTACACTGATTGCCAATGGCTCTTTGTCCCAACAGCTGAAGTTCCATTGCTGTTGAGTTGTTCACACTGGTCTGTCCAACAGTATGTTTAAAGCACAGAAAAAGCAAGTCCCCTAAAATTTATACACAAATTTTGAAGGGTTACTGGATCAATGTTAACTCTGCTTTCTCTCCACAGATGTTGCTAGACCTGTTGAGTTTCTCTAGCAATTTCTCTTTGTGGCTGAAAACATAAGCTTTGCAACTGAACGCTTTGTTAAATATTGAAGATTAAAAGGAAGTTAAATCTTACTTTGTGACCACATTCTAGGCTTTATCTCAAGAGATTATAGACTAATATTCATGATTACCGTTTGGCCTGTGTATTTTTTAAAAAAAACACCTTAATATGACCACAGCTTGAGTACTTCACAAAGTATTAAGCTCTACACTATAGGAAGGATATCGATATGGTGTTTATGAACCTGCTTCAACATTTAATTGATGGTTGATCTGTCTCAACTACATTTCCTTGTCCGATTCCCATATACCTTGATTTCCTTAGATTACAAGAATCTGTTGCTGTTTTGAATATACTGAACAACCATGCCTTTGGGGGTAGAAAATTACAAATTCAGAGACCTGAGCAAAGATATTTCTCATCTGAGCCCTAAATGTTTGACCCCTTATCATAAGATTAAGCCCTTAGTTCTAGACTTTCCAGTTAAGGGGAAACACTTTCTTGGTATATACCCTGTGAACTGTATGTGTTTCTATGACTGCCTGTCACTTTTCTAAACACCAATCAGTATAGGTCCACCCTCATGAAACTCTCATCTCAGGAATCAAGCTAGGTGAATGTTTTTGGTAGCCACATATCTCAAGGTAACAATATCCTTCTTTAAGTACTGAGACCAAACCAGCACAGAGTATTTTATGTATAGCTTCAAACCTTTCTGTCATTGCATCAAAACACCCTTACCCTTGTGTTCAATTTCATTAAAGACAAACATACTACTTGTTTTCCGACTTATTTACTGTTTGTGGATATTAATGCTTTGAAAATTCCCATGGACAATATTTGATAGTTTCTCACCATCTAAAAAGATTGTCATTCTCTTCTTTCAATCAAAGACAATCCCACACCATCCCACATTGTACAGAGCTGCCATTTCTTGCCCACTTAGCTTACTTTGCTGCCTAGCTTTGTCTTGTCAGAAAAAGTAAGACATATACACACTGTCCTTCATCAAAGTCATTAACCTAGGCTGTGAACAGCTGAGGCCTAAGCACCAATCCTTTCAGCACTCCACCAGTAACGTGTATATGGTAAATACAAAAAAAACTTTGATATTCAATAGTACCAGAACGAACCCGTCAGAATCCACAAGGGCCACCATCAGGAAGGCTAGGGTTTAAATTATAAAATAAGACTTGCAGCCTTAGAGAAACTACATGCAGGCAAACAGCATGCACTGGAAGTGTGTGGCACATTCATGTGAGCAACAAAATAGAAGCATTAAAAATCTGCACAGGACATCTAAACAGATATAAAATATACTCAAAAAGTAAATATTACAGTAAATTAAGTTCTGTTTATGATGCTTGCCAAATCAGTGCAACATAGCTGCATCACTAAGCTCTTTAAAATATATAAGCACATAAGAACCAGGAGGAGTAGGCCATCGGGCCCTTCGAGCCCATTCCACCATTCAATAATATCATGGCTCTTCTTTTCGTGGCCTCAGCTCCACTTACCCATACTCTCACCATAGCCCTTAATTTGTTTACTTTTCAAAAATATCTTAGCTTTAAAAACTTTCAATGAGGAAGCCTCAACTACTTCACTGGGCAGGGAATTAACAACCTTTTGGGTGAAGAAGTTCCTCCTCAATTAAGTACTAAATCTGCTCCCCCTTATTTTGAGGCTATGCCCTCTTGTTCTGGTTTCATCCGCCAGTGGAAACATCCTCCTTGCTTCTATTTTATCTATTCCCTTCATAATTTTATATCTTTCTATAAGATCCCCCTCATTCTTCTAAATTCCAATGAATATAATCCCAGCCTACACAGTCTCTCCTCATAAGCCAACCCACTCAACTCTGGAATCAACCTGGTGAATCTCCTTCGCACCCACCTCCAGTGTCAGTACATCCTTTCTCAAGTAAGACGACCAAAACTGCACACAGTACTCCAGGCGTGGCCTCACCAGCACCCTATACAGCTGTAACATAACCTCCCTGCTTTTAAACTCAAACCTTCTAGCAATGATGGACAAAAGTCCCTATGCCTTCTTAATTACCTATTGTAGTTTAGGAGTTTGTTGCATAGTGGCAATACATTTGTGAAATTATGAGTTGAACCTAAAGGTTTGTTTCCATTTTTCTTTTCCTTCCCAACTGCCCAAAAATCTGTGAGCTTGTGCAGTGGTAACTAAACCACAACAGTTTCACACTTTGTTAGTTATGAATCCCAGACCTATTCCAGATGGTGGCCATTCAGTTCCAGCCAATCGTGGTGTGCCATTTTTCTGAAAATGATCCACTCTATTCTAAACTCCTCGCCCTTTCCCCATAGCCTTTTTTAATTTTCTTTTTCAAATTTGCATCTACATCCCTTTTAAAACTTGATTCAGACTGTGCTAACCTTGAGATATTTTATGTTCTAACATCTGTACGTACAAAAAAAACTTCTCATAACCTTTGGTCACAAGTCAGGTATAAGAAGTGGACCAGCAAGCAGGGAACTAAAAACCAAGGAAATAAAAAACAATAAGTACCTCTTGGAGGGCCAAGCAGAAATTTAGCGACAGAATTATTTTTTCAAAGAGACGACTGCACATCCAAGTTTGAGCAACATTCCTCTTTTCCACTTGAAGACAGTATTTTATATATAGACAGAAACCTAAATGTCAATGCCCCAAATAAAATTAGCTGATTGCTATTTAATGGTAAAGTGCAACTGGTCAGGAAAAAAAATTCAACATTCAAACACACAAATCTGGGGACAATGTATACGATCTGCTCCACTTATCACAGATGTTAAAAATGTAGTGGTAAAGTGATGAGACTGATTGAAATACAGTTAGGGCGGCTCAATTCTTAATCAAATGAAGTGGACGAGCTTTACTGATTTAAATCGTTGAAACTCTAAGCATCCTTTTCATCTTTCTTTTCTTCATCCTCCTATCATTTAAAAGAAACAAGGTCACTTGCTTCATAAGAAGGGAAAGCTGTCTTAGGAGATTTCAAGGTATTTATAAAACAGATAACAGAGAAAGCTAGCCTAGCAATCTGTTGTCAGCAGCTGTACTGTCAATTGGAAGAATGAGAGAGAGAATCAAAAGCAGAAAATGCTGGAGACACAGGTTATGCAACGTCTGCAAGGGGAATGGGCATGAATTCAAATTTCAG